GTCCCCGCCTCCCCCGACCATCCTCCCCTCACCCCAGTTGCTCCCCGAAAGCGCCTCGTTCGTCACCGCACTCAAATCCCAAAACAACATGCTTCCCTCACTTCCTCCGCTCACCAACAGATCATGGTGCAGCGGATGGAAATCCAAACTGCACACCTCCTTATTGTGCCCTTTCAACGTGCTCTGCTCTGCCATCATTCGCAGGTCGTACACTTTGACAGTCATGTCCCTCGAAGCGGTAGCGAACCTCATCCCGTCCGGCGAGAACTTGCACGCCTGGACCGTGTTCTTGTGGTTGTGGAAGGTGGCTAGACATGTACCGCTCGGATTGGACCTAGGATCCCACACCTTGACGAGGTTGTCCTTGCTGCCACTGATCAGGATACCCTTAGAAGCGTGCCAGTCGAGACACTTGACATCCCATCCATGGCCGGTCAGCTCGCGAATCTGTCTCGCCGAATCGAAATCCCAAATCTTGAGCAAAGAATCGTCGCCTCCAGATGCAAACTTGCTGTCGTCCGGAGACCACGCCAGTCCTCTCGCCGAATCCGTATGCGCCGTAAACGCCTGCAAGGTGTTCAGATTCGACTGGAAGTACTTCACCGTACCATTCTGATCCGCCGAGATCAGGAAACGTCCGGATTTGGACCAAGCCATCGCCCTCACCGCCGAATCGTGCGCCTGCATGATGGTTTCAAAGTTGAACGTCAACCCGTTCCACAGCGTGAATTCACCCGAAGTGGAACCTGTCAGCAAACGTCGACCGTCGGGCATCCATTTGACGACGTTGACGGGACACCGAATCTTGTTGGTGCTCGTGTGGACCAGGTGGTTGGCAACACTGGTGCTGAGGTTATCGTAACCGGCGGGGAGGAGGAAGTTCGGAATCGCATGTGGTGTCGGGTACACGCCTCCAAGCAGGCCATCTGGTCGAGTGGTGGTGGACAGATGTTGGCGAGTTTTGAGATGAGGCAAGGCTCCAAAGTAGTCGACAGTCCGTCGCTGCATGAACTTCTTGATCCTTCGACCTTCGTAGCCGAGCGCAGTGGCTGCCGACTGTGCGGCCATCTCGGAGACGGTTCGTGGATCGGGTTGCGGCGGTTGTGGTGGCTCGGTGAGATGTCGAGTCGGTGCCCAGACTCTTTTCCTGGGTGGCTGCATGTCGGTTGATGGAGCGTGTTTGACATCGTCTTCTCCTTCCAGCGTCCGTTTGGACGTCGAAGCAGTCGGATCGGAAGGCGTGACGGGCGATGGTGAGGAGAGTGGAGATTCCTCTTTCAATTGTTTCGAAGACGGTGAGCCTGGCTCGAGCTTCGGTTCGACCGCTACAGGAGCCATCGTGCAGATTCTTGTGGCTGGGGGAGCGGTGGTCGATGGTCTGAGGAGCGCGTATACTGTCTTCAAGGTTGGAAGGATGCAGAGGTGCGCCACGTCAGACGATGTACCAAACGTTGCAGGGGTCGATATTGCCTGTGAGCCGTGGGTAAGCCTGTGTAGCCACAAGACTATGATTCAGTCGAAACAGAGTGTTGAGGAATGAAGGATCTGAGGTGCTGGAAGGGAGGATGAAGTTGCAAGTCGAGCAACGCTTTGCAGCTTTGGGCAAGGTCAAAATCGGCTCGACCGCAAAGCAGAATCCGAGACCCGCGTCACAGTCCGCAATTTTGTACTATGTTAGATTCATCTCATACAGGTCACCTATGATCTCCTCATACAACGAGACAGCTAGTCGACATCATCTCACCGAGAACTTGGGGATACATTCTCAGACTGCTCTTCTTGAACCCCTACAAATGAAGATAGACAGGATTATCAAATGCAAATTCTAAAAGTACAGATTCATCAGAACGAAACAATGTCTGCTTAAGCGCCTCCGTGACCAGCGCCAGCATTTACAGCAGCCGTAATGTGATCGCCCAACACCGTAGCGATCGTAAACGTCATGACCAACAGACTCTGGCCCACCACATCGACGATGCTCGACACGAAAGGCAGACAGTAGATGTCCGGATCATAGTCCCTGCTCCACAAGACCAAGCAGATGACATGCGCCAAGTACAGCGCAAACACGTTGGCTGTAACGCTCGCACCAACAAAGGAGACGGCAAAGATCCAACCGAACGTCATCTGACCCGTAGCACGAATCAAGACGATGAAGGTCGCTTTGATCCCTACACCCATTGCGAGCAAGCTCATGGGCACCAACCAGCCTTCGATCGGAGGCATGGCCATCACGGAGCGCATCGAAGCGAGCACGCCTCGAACCCCACCGACCTCTCCGGCCTTCGAAGTGGCGCGGAGAACCGAAGCTCCTTTGCCAGAGTGGAGAGCGGTGGTGATGCGCGAGGCAAAGATGGCCGCACACGCACCTGGAAGACCGCTGATGACCGGCGCCAGCAGTGCAAAACCTTCGTACCTCCCGACAAAATTGTCCAGCACCAACCCGGCACCGGACGAGATGAACATGGCCATCAACAGCGGCACCCAGCCCGACGTGAGCAGCTCCCTGACGTACGCGTTGCGGTAGGTGACGATGAACGACGCGATGCACGCGACTGCCATAGCAGCGAGGATGACCGTCGCCAGAAAAGTGCCTTCGAAGTGCACCAGCGACGAGGCAAGCAGTCCAAGCAGGGTGAGCGTGGTGAGATCGCCCAGCGAAGCAGCTAATGGCGAAGCGATGTTATCGGGGTTGGCGCCGGCGCGTCGAGCGATGACGACAAGCGCACACATGAAGGATCCGAGCACCGCCGACGAGAGTGAAGCCGAGAGCATGCCCGTTGCAATGACGAGGACGAACTCAAAGTATCCGTTGCGCAGACGAAGTGCAGGGTCCGTGGGTGGTTTGGGATGGTGGTGAATGATGCGTCGCTTCTGCAGCCATGACCCCGCTTGTGTTGCACCCGCGCTGGCCATGGATCGACGACGGTTGCGCAGGGTGACGGCTGAAAACGCGCTGCGAACGATGCCCTGTATCAACGCATTTTCCGGCGTCTGTCCCTGTGGTGTGGCTGGCACAGGTGCTACAGGTACCTCGACCTGTGGATCAGGCGTCACGACACCCAACACGAAAGCGAGCACGCCGGCAAACATGGACACGATAAGCGCTTGCACCTGCAACAGCGCCAGATTGCCCCGGATGAGCGTCTCCCTGGTCCTCCTCACATCGAGTTCGCCAATGTTAGCAGAGGTGGACATGCGGAGCGACAGGTTCATCTCGAGGTTGCCCTTCATGTTGAGTAGGATGGGGATCAAGATGAAGAGCTTGTCGACCTTTTGAAAGACAGGCCAGCGTGCTAGATGGACCAGAAGTTCTCCCGAGAACATGAGCGAGAGCACCGAGACGATCAGCGTTGGCAAAGCTTCCCGGGCGATCTCCCAGAATCGAGAAAAGGCAGAACGGGCGGCGAGACGAGAAGCGGTTCCACGACGGTCGACAAAACCAGCAGAACCGAGTAGCGATGCATGCGTTTCGTACTCATCATCGAGATCTTCATCTGCGGCTTGATGCAGACCGCGAGCCTGTGTAGTTGGATTCGAGGCCTCCAGATCGTGGGTCGATTGGTACGATGCTCCCCGCTTTAGATCTGTTTCCGAATAGTTGGAGTCACCTGCCTGCAGCGTCCTGGTGTCGTCGTCGCTCGCATCATTGTCGTCTCCATCGGCGTCTTTATCGTACTGGTCGGCACGTATGTGTCGGGAGCTTATTGACTTGGCGTCTGCCGCTACGTCTTGTGTGCGATCGGTAAAGCTGCCGACGTTGGTGCTGGTGTCATCATCATCGTCGTCGTCATCATCATCATCATCGCTGCTGTCGCTGTTGCTCGAGATGGTATGATGCGGTGCTTCTGCTGCTGAGTCGTGATCGATCAAAGTGATTGCAGCGCCTACAGCATTGGAAGGAGTGTCTACGGCTGAAGCATTGTCATCGTTGTTACTACGGGTGTTTGACCGGGCGGGATTGACCATGGATCTTGGGCGAAGGCGTCGTGATGTGTTTTGTCCGTGGACACTAGCAACAGAGGCAAAGCGATCACTGTGAACAGGGTCAGTGATGATCAAGGAGAGATATGGAGACAAATCGAAGCAGGGGGAGAAGGAGAAGAAGTCGAAGAAGCGTAGGATAGAAGGACAATGGAGAGGGACCCGGACAGTGCGAGGATGGTTATCGAGGGTCCAGAAGCAGAGCCAGGGGGAAGCTGCAGTAAGTCAGTCTGAATTGCGGAATGTGGAGCACGAAATGGGCACAAAATCTCAGTTTTGTTGTCATGCTACGAAATCACAGAGCAAGCCTTGTTTTCCTTCCACGAGAGAATGAATTGCGAATTCAGAGAGGCTCGCTCGTTCCCACGCTTTCACCTTCTCCAAAGAAAATCGAAGCTCCCCCCCC